ACTTTCACTGTCAGTCCATTCGAAACTCACTGTCAGTGATATAATACTTTAATCCTGTCGAAATTTACTGTCAGTGGGATAACAAATTAATCTAGTTGAAATTTACAAAAATTGGTACAAAAAACTCACTGGACATAAGGTACTTTAATAGTGCAAGTCTGTAGGTTGTACAAACAAAATACAAAACGTACATGTTGTCTGTAATAAAGAATACAAGGTATAAGTAATAAAGAGGACGACCTAGGTGGTGTAAGTCACTGGACATGAGGTACTATAATAGTGTAAGTCACTAGACATGAGGTACTATAATAGTGTAAGTCACTGGACATAAGGTACTTTAACAGTGTAAGTCACTGGACATAAGGTACTGTAACAGAGTCAGCTTTTTTGGTAATACAAATCATCAGATAAAAGGTACAGATTGTCTGAAATAAATTAAGACAATATCGTCAGATGATAGACGCTAACTGTTTGTGTTAAAGCAGGTCTAATAGTGTCAAAACTTAGACATAAGTTTTAGTAAAACTCTTTACGATTTTAGGCAATTGTTAGTATCCATGAATCTCCAGCAAGTATCAGAATTTCAGTTACAGCGATAATTTGTAATGATGTTGTACTTTTTAAATTATTAATCTATCTATACTATATTTATATATCAAAATATCTAATTTACTTACGGTTATTGGTAAGATGTTTAGTTCGAATGTTAATTGTTTAATATATATTATTTATCTAATGCTCCGAATTCTTAAAATTATGTTTAATGAAATGTATATTTTGGAATTTTATTTATCAACGTATGACTAATTTACAGTCTCAAGAACCCATACTTAACTAACGTATTTGGATGATCAATTTACAATGTATGGCTTATCAGAAGCAACGGAATTATGATTAATGTATAATCCAATAGTTCATCATAGTTCATGGATGTTGAATCTAAGAAATATCTGTACCAAAACGATAAGCATACTACATGCATATATTTTTCTTAGTGTAAACATAAGAAAATAATATACATAATCTGTCAGACTAAGTTAAATATTATGTTGGAACATAATCTGTCAGACTAAGTTAAATATTATGTTGGAACATAATCTGTCAGACTAAGTTAAACATTATGTTGGAACATAATCTGTCAGACTAAGTTAAACATTAATTCTTCTGTCAGACTAAGTTAAACATTAATTCTTCTGTCAGACTAAGTTAAACATTATGTTGGAACATAATCTTTCAGACTAAGTTAAACATTAATTCTAAGTTAAAGAATAAGTTTTTATTATTATTTCTATCTCAGGAGAGTTCAATTTTGGAAAAATATTTTTTTTAAATTGTTTACGCAACAATTTTTTTACCTCTATGTCTTTATTGTCACACATGCGTTTTCTAAATGCCATCAGTATTCCAATTAATTTCGCTGATTACTACAGGAATATTCTATGTATTTTACATATAAAATGGGTCAAGAGTGAAATTCTGCTGGTCCTCACCGGTACTCAGTACCGGAACTTATTTTTTTAAGGCGGTACTAGTACCGGATATATTTGAGCTGCTTTGTCGTGTTTTATATTTACATGTAGATTTTTTTTTCTTTTTTCAAAAACAGGTCCACTTCAGCCAGCTTCGAACCTCTATTTTTGCACCTCTGAAACTGATGATTTCTCAGTTATTTGATACCACATACTATATTCATCAACTATCTCTCTTTCTGTTTAACTTGTGACATTTTTGATAGTTTTACGTCACAACTGATACAAGATGGAAAAGTGTTAAGTTTTTCTCTCAGTTAATTTATCTTGGAATTAAAACAAAATTTTAATATATTTTTCATGAATGTTTTAAATACATGAAATAATTTGGGTTAATATAACATTCATTGAAAAGAAGACAGTTTTGCCACCTTCTTGCTGGCAGCGTTTGAATCCCTCTTACCCTGTATTTTTCTCTCCGTCTTACCTTTTTGACATGTGAGGTTGATTTACTTTGCTAGGGACCGTATTCAGGTACATCAGACGTTCAGGTCTGTTTGGTTAACATTGTTTCATTTTCGGAAACCGAACTTGGGCATGGGAGATTTACACGTGCGTGTGGCACGTGAAGGTTTTTAAGTGGCCATTAAATGATATGATCGATAGTTGGGCATCCAATAAACAGTTTTGTACATACACTACTTTCAGAAATTGAGCCTGGAAAAGTAATATACATATACATTTATATCTGACTGAAAAGTTTTTCTCACTTCCGGCTAGGTGAAAATGTTGGTTATGTTATAACTACACGTGTTGGTGAAGTTGTTGCTCGGTTAATCATGTCTTTAAAAAGGAAAATATTTTGTAAAATATATATTGGTATTTCAACCTCATCGATCACTTGATTCTCAAAACGATATTCAATTGCCAAGTAGTTCATGAAGTGAACTATCAAAATACCCGGATAAAACTAGTGACTACTGGCTAACCTCATTCCTTGAAAATGTTGATTTTAGCTTTTCCATGTAGAACTAAGTGCCTCATTAATCAAACACTTTAAAAGAAGCGAGAGGCCGCGCTTACTGTATTGAACATGTATTAACTTTTCCAGTTAAGCTAGAAAATGTTGGTACTCACGTGTTTCAAGGTTAGTAGGAATAATGGACTAGGTATTTTACACATAAAATAAATAACGATTGTTTTCCATAATAAATGTCGTTGTGCTCACAAATAATTGTTTATTAATTTACTACTTAGCACAATGTGCTTGTCTACACAAGTACTTTGCACATTATACACTCAATCAATCAGGCAGAAAGTACCAATATAGAATATAGATGATGTAGAATGCAGTTGTTTGTATAACCTTGGTAGACAACATATTTCAGTTCTTACTGATAAGCCATGATCGATAAAAAGGCTTATCCCTTAACAATCTGGTTGTTTCTCTATCACCTTGCCTCTCTCTCTGCTTATCAGTCTATCCATTGACCTTTCCGTATATGTCCGTCAGTTTATCAACTTGCCATTATCTGTCTTAAAATTTGCCTTTCTCAGTTTGTATCTGTAAATACATGATATAGTCCGTCTTCCTGTTTAGAAATTCTTTTCTTCATCATTCTCATCTGTTAGTTTGACTGTCCATCTTTTTATCCATCTGAAAACACGTTTTCCTCTTCGTCCGTTAATTTCTCGCTCCACCTCCCTCATCTGTTTGTCTGGCTGTATCTTTTTATCTCACAGTGGTTTGTAATCTCATCTATCTTGTTGTCTATCTATTTGTCTGTATTTCTATCTGTGTACTGACCATCTGTTCATCTTTTCTTCTGTTTGCCTGAATATCCTGTTCATCTATCTGTCTGACCGTGTCTTTTCACCTGTTTGACAGTTTGTCTTCTTATCTATATGCCCACCCATCTCTCTCATCTACTTGTCTTGTGTCTTAGACAGTACATTTTTTGTCCATTTGTTATTTATCAGTCACTTCCTATATATTTTTTAACTGTACGTTTATTCGTCTAGCTCTATTTCAGCTCAGTGACCAGTAATTTTAATATATCCATCTGTTTGAAAACCTGTCTTTCAATCTTTTATTCCCTTTGAATACAAAGTATTTTCATTTTTGAATCAATATTTCTCTAAATCGACCTCCATTTCGAATTTTTCACCATTCTAGATTTGTCTGTCTATCTCTCTAGCCATCTACCTGTCTGTCCGCTCGTCCATCTACCTATCTATTTGGCTATATATTTCTGTTTATTCGGTCTTTCGTTCATCTACAAAATTTGCATTAAATAATAGAAATCCATAATGCTTTAGTCTAAATAAAACGTTTTCGAACATCCCTTCGTATTAGCAGCCATCGATTTAAATTTTAAACCTCACTCTTATTTGTTCAGATGAAACACAGAACGTGGTATAGAAACATGGTCGTGTTTAGTGAATAATGTCGATTTCTCTGGCAGTTTCCATTTCCAATGAGCCGTGAAGTGAAGCCTTTGATTGGAGTTTTAATACGCGCACGTGCCTGAGTTGAAAATATCCTACTCATCTCTCTCTAACGTACACTGTTGCTAAAGCGGCCATTTAGAATCCACGGACAATTAGTCCAATATACAGTGTACCTCAACCCTCTCTCTGTGTACTCCAATCACACGATATCTGCCGGAGCTCATGTACGAACTCAAAAAGAGTCCGCCACCACTCTTGTCTTCTATCCTTTAAAAGATTCAAGTACGTGAAAGGGTAAGAAGAGAACAAAATTCTTTACAGAAAAATCGCACGTGCTAAATAGCTCTTGGGTTTTGATGTTAGAAATATGCACTTTTTGAAAACTGAGATTTTTTACGTGACATTACATTTTATCCAGTTGAAAACAAAACAAAACAAAAATTCTACAAAAACAGCGTTGGCGTTGTCGTAAACTTGGATAAATGTGGTAGCTATCAGCATTGCAATTATGCTCAAAATAGTTTTTTTTCTTGTTTGTTTGTTTTTTAATTTTGCGCAAAGTTACACCAGGGCTATCTGCGCTAGCCGTCCCTAATTTAGCAGTGTAAGACTAGAGGGAAGGCAGCTAGTCATCACCACCCACTGCCAACTCTTGGGCTACTCTTTTACTAACTAATAGTGGGATTGATCGTCACATTATAATGCCCCACGGCTGAAATGGCGAGCATGTTTGGTGTGATGGGGATTCGAACCCGCGATCCTCAGATTGCTAGTCGAACGCCCTAACCACCTGCCCATGCCGGGCCAGTTTTGTCTTCTTCTCTGTGCATTTATTTCATCAAAGAGTTCTCTATTTTGTAAAAACAAAATACATCATATTTATACAAACATTCTTTTAAGTATACGATCATAAAGAAAGACCTGCTTGAAACATTTTTTACCAAGGTTTGATAACATAGAATTTTGTAACTAGGAAAAAAAAAAAGGTAATGAATATATTTTCTCTCATATTCACAACTTTTCTTTACTTGTTGTAAAAGTATGTTTTACACACTAATTATTTTATTGTTTGCTGTCCAGGTTCAAGGATGTTTGAAAAATGGCCCAACAGTTTTCTCGACGAAGGCGACATCATGTGGAAATATATTTAAACTACTGGATAGTTTGATTTAGATTAAAAAAAAAGTTGGTTTACTTTCACCAAATATTGTAAGTTTTCTTGTAATGATGAATTTAAAAAGAATAATGTTATTAAGGGGATTAACCATATAGGCTGATCCGAAAATGTCTTTGGTACTTCCTTACTCAATTGTTTCTAAATAAATATGTAAAGGTATACCTTAAAGAGATATACGAAACGAAACATAAACCCCGTAGTAAACGTACTGTATAGAACACGTACACATTTATGTAAAACAGCGTTTCAAAAGTTGCACCAACTGTTTGACATCATTTGTAATAACCTGTATCAGTCTTATATCTAAGTGCTAGTGAATTACTGACGAACGTATTTACGTACTATTATAAGTCTGTTTTTTTATGTGAAAAAAAAATGTATTAGATACACCCTCACTAACTATAAATCTATAAGCATTCCTTAAAAGAGGGTCTTTTTATTGGAAGTTTCAAAGACGGTTTGAATCGTATTGTATTTGTATGCGTCAAGTGTTAAAGGTTTTAATAAAGACCAGTTTTAATCAGAGCGTTGTTATTCTTATCGTTATTTAGCAGATTATTATTTATTTACTAAATAAACAAGTTTGCCAAATCACCCAAATTAGCTTCAGGGAAGAAATAGAACATATTCTGTCCCTTGTCATAATAGTCAGGTCAAACGTGGTATAACTCTATAATTTGGGAACCACAGCTTGAGGAAACTTCTATTTAATAGACAGGTTGAGAGTAGTGCATATTAATGGCAGTGGATTGAGAGTATCTTTGATCAATGGCAGTGTTGGAGATTAGTTGATAGTGGATCACTAGGAATAGTCCTTGTTTGGTGGCAGACGATTCAGAGTAGCACCTTTTATTAACTATGTACTGGAAATAGAAATTGTTAATGACTGAAGATGTAGAATAATGCTTTTTGATGAGTTTGGATTGAGAGTAAATTTTTGATTAGTGTGAACTGAAAGTAGCATTTTTTAATGAGTGTGAACTGAAAGTAGCATTTTTTAATGAGTGTGAACTGAAAGTAGCATTTTTTAATGAGTGTGAACTGAAAGTAGCATGTTTTAATGAGTGTGAACTGAAAGTAGCATTTTTTAATGAGTGTGAACTGAAAGTAGCATTTCTTAATGAGTGTGGACTGAAAGTAGCATTTCTTAATGAGTGTGGACTGAAAGTAGCATTTCTTAATGAGTGTGGACTGAAAGTATTGCTTTCTAATAATTGTTGATTGAGATAAATTCTTTGTTTAGATAGAGATTCATAATTTTAAAGAAAATCAGTTTCATTTCCATTAAAAGAACAAAAGATGGCTATTATAAATTGCTGTTACAATCAACTATTATTTCTTTGATCAAAGGAGAACAAGTCACGTATTTTAGAATCAGTTAAGTTCATTATTGATTAAATAAACTGTTAAAAATGTTTCATAAGTCCAAGAGCATTACAATAATTTATCAATCATTATTGATTAAATAAACTGTTAAAAATGTTTCATAAGTCCAAGAGAATTACAATAATCTATCAATCATTATTGATTAAATAACCTGTTAAAAATGTTTCATAAGTCCAAGAGCATTACAATAATCTATCAATCATTATTGATTAAATAAACTGTTAAAAATGTTTCATAAGTCCAAGAGAAATACAATAATTTATCAATCATTACTGATTTGCTACATTTATAAGATAACATGTATTTTTAAAGAAATCTTTAAAAATGTATAAGGTATTTGATTCTTTTTTCTGTACTTCTAATCGAATACAGTTTATTCACATGGTGTTTTCTGTATATTGTGTTTAAAGATATAGGCTTCACAACATATACTTACAAGCAGGTTTTTGTATTATACTTGTATTAAACATTATATTGCTCATTATAGTGATTAACTGATAAAAAGTAAATTAATTATGCAAATCAGAGCTACATCTACAGTACCTTACAAGTTAACGAAAATAATTCTGTATATCAGACAAGCTAGAAAGATTTAGTAGCATAAATCCAAACACCAAAAACTTGGAACGTACAATGATTAACACCGTATTGAGTCATCAGTTGAGTACCATGGCTGTTAACTCTTATTTTCAACTGTACCTCCAAGTATCTTAAGTATAAGCGTGAATAGATGCAGCAAATAAACTTCATAAATATTAATATTTCCCTTTGTACGTAGAATGTTTAAAGTTTTATTTAAATTAGGTTAATATGTAATTATCCCAGAATTCAATTCTGTATATTGGGTGAGGATATAGAAAACTACAGTGTAAAATTGACAACGTGGTAAAAACTTTCAAATATTAACAAAAATACTACTATATCAGTTTAACCTTTTTTTTGTAAAGCATATAAGAAACTTTAAAAAATGTGACCTTCACACCATTGTCTTTCAAAACCAAAGTTGCTGTTGATTCTATAAAATATTTTTTGGTATCAGCGGACTACAGGTTGTTTTCATGAAGATATCAGCTGATTGAACATAATTTGTGCTTGGTAAACAACGATTAAAACTGCCAATAATTTTTTTTTGATTTTTTTGTACTACATGAACACTTTTCCAGGTTTAAACTTCATAACTTATTTTTACAAACATATGTTTGCATCATACTTTAGAAAAGTATTTTTTATATTGAATATTATTAGGAACTTCTGATTAAAAGTAAAGTATTTATATAGATCAGAACTAAAATTACTTACACACTAACTTACAACTGCGTAACATTTCATTTTAGTCAGCCGAAAACAAACTACAAATATGTTTGTTGGCGTTCCCGTAAATTTGGCTAAATGTGGCAACTCTCAGCACTGTAATGATGTTTAAAAATCGAGTTTTGTTTTTTCTTCTTTTCTGTGCATTTAAGTCATCAAAGAATTCTTCATTTTTAGGAAATATATAGTATTTATACAAACATTTTTTCAAAATCTAGTATCATCAAAAAAACCTGCTCGAAGAAAAGATTAGGAACTTTTATTACAAAGGTTTGATTACTTAGAACATTCTGATTAACGAAAAAAGTTAGAAATACGTTTATTTTCACTCAAATTCACAGCTTCTCTACTTGTTTCAAAATTATGTCTTTACTTATTGGATTACAATAGAGTAAATGTTGTCATTGTTTGTTGTCATGTGTGTTTAAGAATTAATACGTATTTGTTGACTATGAGTTTAGAATAGTCCTTTATAAAAATAACTTTGATCGAGAGAATTTCCTTTTAGTGACATTACATTGAAAATGGTCATTGTTTAATCACTTTAGACTGTTCGGTGAAAATTTATTAAAGGTAAGAATTGAGCTATATTAGTTTTTATTGGTGAGTATGAATTGAGAGTAATGCTTGTTTGGTGTTGGTTAGAATGGATTAGAAATATCCTCGTTTAGTGACAGTGGATTAAAATATTTTGGCGGCAATGATCTCACAGTAAGTTTTTGTTGGACAGAATGGACTGAGGGCACTTTTTATTTGGTTACAGTGGTTAAAGAATATTGTTGTGTGGGGGATTGAAAGAGTGTTGTTCTTGTTTGTGTAGGGAAAGTTGGGGTAAGACGGTCACCTTAACGTTGAATGCGGTTTTCATGAAAAAGCAAAAACTTAAAATGATTCTTGTTTTATCATAAATTTAATTTCTAGTTAAGAAAAGATTGGTCATATATCTTTTTTCACATATTGAAACAATGCATTTCTTGTGGTTGGGTGCTACTGTTTTACCTATAAATTTGAATAAAACGCACCTACAAGATGGGTTATATGACCCACATATAACTCTTAATAACTGCGATTAAAAATAAATGATACATTTAGATGTATTTAAATCATTAATCCATCCTTTAAATGCTCCCGGCAGGGATTTGGAAGACTATGTGACATGCGCAATTTGCGCATTATCTAAGACAACAGAGCAAAACAACAAGAGTACTAGAGGACCAATGATGTACATTATGTCATTGACTTTAAGTAAGACAGCCCCGCGAAGGGGGGACGTCTCACCCTAAGCTACTCATTGTATGCAATCGTACGTTATAAAAATGAACTCATAATTGTTTAAAATTAATAAAGCGAAATTCTCTTAAATATCTAACTTGTAATCATAACATATTTAAAATGCTTACCTTATATCACTGTCATTAAAAGAAAAAATGAAGTCTCGCTTTGATCATTCACATTGCGTCAGTCTGCTAGTATGTTTATTCACGAGAACAAACAATAGTTGCATATAATTCACTCTGATGGTAACATTGCATAGCTGATGGTTATACAGGGGTGGCCGTTTTATCGAAGGGGACCGTCTTATCTCACTTTCCATTACAGTAGGTTAAAAGTAATATTTTGAGTGACAAAAATCCTATAGCAATTCTTTGTTGATGAGAGTGGGCTGAGAGTAGTCATTGTTTGAGATTGGTGAAGTGGATAGACAATAGTCCTTATTTTTATTTGGTGATATGACAGACTGTGTATAGACATATGTTTGTTTTCATGATGACTCAGAATCATTCAGCGACTTTTAAGGACAAAAATAATTGAGTTAAAGTAAATGTTTGATACAAACACATATCATCATTGTAGTTAAGAAATATGAACTAATATGATACCCTAACAGAGGGGCAGAAAGCCATCAGAAATAGTTTAAGCTAAAATTAGATCCGAAAAAAGGAAGTCTATTTTGGTTGAAACTACAAGTAATTTCTGTCATTAGCAAATAATTCAAAATAAATTTGAAATTTTCACGATGCTTTTATATTTTTGTATCATGATAAAAATATTTTATAAAGAATAATAATTTTGTCCCTTATACATATAAATATTATTAAATATTTATTTCGCATTCTTATACGAAAGTTTTATTTTTATTTTAAAGTTTTCATTATATTCTTAATATTTTTTTTACCTTCTCTCTGGTGGCTATAAAGAGTCTTTCCCTTTGTTAAATGCATACAGTCATTATCTCCTAGCTTGTCTTTGTCAGTGACTACATTCAAGCTTAACTGTAACATTCCACATCGCTTGATATCTGAATGTGGGAAATGACACTCATCTCTCCACTTGCCTGTCCAGAAGATAAACTTCACACGCATCCACGTACGTAACTTTGGGATTTTCCTGTCGCCCCAGCTTGGCTGGCAGAATGGGATTTCTCGACAAAACGTGAGAGAAATACCGATAGCTGTAACCACCATCACTCGTGACAGTCTGGGAATAACTTCCAAGCCAGTGCTTCAGGGGTTGCTATCTTAGATGTGTATGGACATCGACATTTCATGTATACCAGGCAGAAAAGTCAAGGTTCCTTATAAAAAGGTACCCGGTGGGACAGCGGTAAGCATACGGACTAAAAACGCTAAAATCAGAGGCTCGATTCTCCTCGATGGATATAGCATATAGCCTGATGTGGCTTTGCTATAAACACACACACACACACACACTCCTTTTAAGGGATATTTTTTCGATAGAAAATTACAGAAGTATGCTATAGATTGCGCGATGCGAGATACAGGGCCAGTGAAAATTAGGGCAAGGCCATGGGTTAGAAAGTGCAACGCTGTTTATGATCAAATAGTGCCAATATTAGGAGAATGTATGTTGTTACTGGTAAAGTTCTCAGGGCCCTGGGTTAGAACGAATGTGTTGCGTATGCTCAAGTGAAGTAGTAGAAATAGTGTTATGATTTATGAAATGTATTCTAATTATCGACATCATTTGGAGAATGTATTTTGTTTTCAAGTAGATTAAGATAATGAATTGAACTTTAAGTTTTTCTGTATTCAATAGGCTAATGTCTTGAGTTGGAGAGTGTGTGTGTGTTGTTTATGATCAAGTAAAATAGGGTCATGAGTTGGGAACTGCATTTTATTTACGTTCACTTGAAATAGGTCACGAACTGGAGAGTCTATAATATTTGTGATCTCACAGTTTAAAAAGTTCTTGCAAAATATTGTTCGTATGCTTGCAACTGATAAGAGTTAATACTCATTTCGCATACTTGGGTTATGGTATTCTCACTTCATTATCTTTTTTTTTCAGTTTCTAATGTCTGTATTCTGTTATCAGATCTGTAAATTGCTCGAAGTTTCAGAGTCCATATGTCGGGTTTCTAGTTTAGTAGAAGTTTGGAAGATTCTTGGCTCTATGTCCTGTTACTATATAGAAGTTTTAAATATTTAGGTTTATAATTATCTTAAAAGAATCCCCAAAACTACCGACCCCTGTGTCCTGTTACTAGCTAATTCAGTCCCCAAAAAGCTTTAGAACTTTTGGTTTGTAATTAGCTTAGAATAACTCCAGAAAACTCAAGTCCCTGTGCCCTATTACTAACTCATTAGGGCCTCGAAAAGCTTCAGAATCTATGCGTCTTGTTACTAGCTCAGTAGTTCACAACTAGCTCAGTCGGTTCACAAAGATTTATAATCTCTGTGTCTTGTTACTATAGCTCTGTAGTTCCCTAAAAGCTTTAGAATAATTTTATCTGGTAAACATTGGAAGCTTAAGAATCTCTTTGCTCTATTGATAGCTTAACAGAATCTTGGAAGCTTTAAATTCCAGTAACTTGTTACTAACTACTAATGTTGTACCATGTTAGCTTCTGAATACTTGATGAGCTGCTAACATGGTCCAACATTAAGTATTCAGAAGCTCTTGTATTGCTGTGTCGTGTCGAGGTATGACTTTTGATATTCAGCTCTTGTTCACTTTAAGTATATCAAACTGTGTTATATAATTATAATATATATATATTTATTACTTCTTTGTTTTTTGCCACTACAATACAAATTAGTTATCTATTTATAGATTTTGTTACTGTTAACTTGAAATTTTTATGTCCTTAAAACTTAGCTTATCACATAATATTTATAGGTCGTTGTTAATCAAACAGTAAAATTTTGTGTGCAATGTTTGCATGTTAAGAGCAATTTTGGAATCCAAACAGAGCATGATAACTGTTTGTAATAAAACGTGACTATGTTTCAAATACACGTATAATCAACACAATGTGATATTAACATCTCCAATAAAATAACTTCAATAAGAAAAACAAAAGGTTTGCACTTCTTAATCTTCACAGACAGCATTTGGAAGAAAAACGGAAGTTCCTACCAGAACAAAGAGTTCGTCAAAAAATACAAGAATATTTCAATGATGGTCAGATGAGAGGTTTTATTGTTAGAATTAAGATCTAACTCCTGCCGGTGAATTCGGATTGTTCAGATATTTTTTGTCGGTGGATAGTTTATGAACACTGGAGTAAATAAAGCCAATGAAGCAGAGCTGATGTTCGTGGTCAATCGGCCTGAGTGTCTGGAGAACAAAGACAGCAGAATGTAAGTTATTAATAAGCTATACAAGTGCAGCTGAGTGCTGTTTTACAACTTCTCTTTTCTCAAGAACGTTATCAAATTGAGGTGCTTTATTACTTTGGTATTTTGTTTAAAACAATCTATATAAAATAAAAAAATTATTAAAGCATAGTTAGAATGAATAAAGATTTACACCGTAATACCGCAATGTGAATTAGATTGTTTGAGGAAATATTTTTTTTGCCGGTCATAAAACTATCAAACATCCAGGAAGTGGTTACAGTAACGGAAGTTGTTGTTTCTTCATTTCTTGCATTATGGAAAATTTGTTAAATTGAATTTTCTGAAGGTTATAGTCGAATTCAAAAAATACCGAAGTTGTTTTTTTTTCCGTATTTCAGAAAACTCTGTTTTAAAAATAGAACAGTTCTTTGGTGATAAGTGTATAGAACCAAAATTGTTAATCACTATAGAAATATATAGCAGCATTTTGTAAAGTACAATATATGGGGGATTAAATAATAAATTAATTTCATTTGTTGGTGTAATTGTCACTGGCGGTATACATTGTCTTGAAATATTAAATTTCAAAAATGATCATATTTTATTGATTTTTATAAGGTAGTATTTGTAGAAGATGAAGATTCTACCTTAACTGTACAATCTTTGGCTGGTAAGTCAAAACATTTGTTCGTTGTAGAAGACTGTAAGAGTAGCCTAATTGAAGATCTTAGAGTGATAAATGCATAGTACTAAAGTTAGTATTTCCTTGTGAAAATGTATAATTGTATTTTTGAAAACTACAAGTTTAAGTTAAAAAGTTCTGAAAATTGACTGTTTGTGAAAATGGACCTTGGGTGATGATGGCATGGCACTAATGTTCAAATTGCGTGGAAAGTTGGCACGGTTCGTTTGTGTTGGGCCGCCGCGTGCAGACGATTTTCGAGTGCCTTTTGACACAGAAAGGCGCGAAATGAGAACGAAAAATCCTTTGGGCCTCACACGAACTTTTACTTTACCCCTGGTGGCAAACGTCTTCGGCAGTTTCAAAATTTGTGGTAAATTACAGGGATAATTTGTTCTTCTGACAGCGGAATCATGATGCATAATGTTACTTCGAATTCCTGATTACTAGCCTTAGCTGCCAAGAGAAAAGATCGTGCTGTGTCGAAGATGATATGTCACGAAACCGAGCTTGTTGATCATACCTATACACCTGGCTTTCTACAGATCATAAGCAAAACGTAGACTTTAATCGTAATTCCAGACAGGAAGATAAAAACATCCAGAAAACACTAATGACAGCACAGGTTGGAATTTCCCATATTAGCTAAACATGGAAATTTTCAGCTGGTAATGACAATTTGATTGCAGTATTTTTTGTATTTTTACTTTGTAATTAAGTAATTGGGAAAATGGTCGATAAATGACTGATTCGTGATTTGGCTTTATATATATATATATATATTCCACTCTTCATGAGTACAAATTAGGCATTTTTGGCAAGAAAAAAGAAGAAAATGTGATTAGCAACGTGATACTTCTTCATTGAACGAAAGGTAAAAAAAAAACGAATCGGCAAATGCCGAATAAAGAAAATACAATTATTTGTTTTCTAAGAGCCAGTGCAGAAGAAGAATTCATTTGTTCTAAATCGTCAATCAAGGGATGCTCGTGTAGATAGAAATTATTAAACCCGCCTGAGTGTTCTGAGTATAGATATTTCATAAAATTGTCAGCCCACTGACACTGTGAATTCTTACATATTTAATGTTAGAAGCTGCTTTTGTGTGAAGCTCATAATACATATATTTAAATATACCATAAGTTCTGTTATTCAAGAGGTTAACGTTGGTTTTATAAAAATATTGTAACAGATTTTACTTACCGCGAGTTCCGTGTTGAATTTATGACAGAGTATATAATTCAGAACAAGAAAAAAAGCCAATTCTACTCTAAATTTCATCAAATAATTACTCATTTCACGATTATGTTGATACTTTGATCTAAACGAAACATAAAAGCTTTCAGTAATAAAACCTTGTATGTAGGTAATTATTTATATAATAAACATTTTGGTATTACATATGAACGAAGACATATTTTAGCAGAAATAAAAATCATTATTAATAACTCCCGGCCATTTGTGAGCATTAATCAAAAATACCCAAGTCGACCATAATGATATTAACTTTAAACATTCAAGGTTGTCGGTCTAGCAATTTAAATAGTAAAATATGAAAATAAATTAACATATACCGATTTACATACGATATCACTGACTTTACATGCAACTTAGAAAAACTTATTTTCAGTTATGCTCTAAGTTAGAACTTTTCGGTCTTATTGGGTCATCCTATGAAGCGAAGAAACCGGAGTCGTTTGTAACGTCTGAGCATGGCGGATTGTCTCGAATTGCACTTTGAAAATATTTCATGATACAAAAAAACTGTATTCATCAAACAGTTATTAACGGGACATTGCTATAATTTTATGGTTCGCAAGCACTTTTAACTCCACGCCCTCGAAAGCATGCTTGTAAATGAAGTTTCTTCGAGATCTAAACCATGGTTAATAAGTGTTATTGGGTGAGACTACATTCGTGATAATATTCTTACGCATTGATGCTTAAAGGTAATGATAGTATTTGCTCGACTGTTACGAGGGGCTAGAAAAAAGCTTAAATACCAGTATCAAATAGCTGACCATTTGAGTTGTCAAATAATTACCCACTGGGCGTAAAGACATTACACTAAAGGTACCCGCAGCATCTCAACAGTAACTGCACCATTGTTGACCCGATCTGTTGACCAGAGCTGTAATTGTCCTATTCGACTAGCCCAAATGTGTATTGCCTCGGAGTAATCTCAGGAATATGTTTTTTTTCCTGCTTTCCACTTTGTCATTGTCCCTCCCAGACAAATATTATTGGTCTTTAATTTATACCTAAATACTGTGGTTTTAAGGAGTGGTTTCTGATGTATTCAACTTCCCCCTCCCCTCCTCCCTCGCTCTACACACATACACACACACGTGGATAAGGATCCTAAAAATGTTGAGAATGAAAAACTTGTTTGTCTTATTCCGGCCATGAAGAAACTCGGTTCATCAAATACAAATCATAGAAATACGCAGAAGGGTAAAAATTGTTCTCAACTACTCACATAAGAAGAGTTATATTTTAGAAGAATAGACTGATTTGGCCTGGACGCTCGACTCGCAATGTATGGGTCGCAGGATCAAAACGTGTCAACGAACATGTTTGTTCTTTCAGCCATGGGAGCGTTATGATGTGATGGTCAATTCTCCTACTTGTTGGTAAAGAGTAGCTGTAGAGTTGGCGGTGGGTGGTGCTGACTAGCAGCCTTTCTTCAAGTCTATCACTTCGAAATTAGGCATACATAGCATAAAAACAAAACAAAAAGAGTTAAATGAATTCAAACAAAAGTCACCGTTATAAACTAGAAAATATTGTTTACATGAAAGTCGACTAAGTTAATGCAAAACAAAATGAAATTTCCTAACCAGAGTATCAAGTTATAGAATAGTTAGATGAATAAAAATTAGCTACTGCCGTTCAATTTAGTCAGAAGCTAGAATGTAAACTAGCATCCCCGTTCTTAAGTCATAGTATCTGATTATAAGTGAGTTAATTATATATACACAGAGTTGAGTACGTTATTTTAAAACGATTTTAAACAGCACCACGTCAGGTCATCCTTCATCTGACCATTGTGCATCTTGACAACAGCTCTGCAACTTACTTTTTATTGCAAAATGCTCGGTAATAACGCTTTCACGTCCAAAGCACGCCACTCCTCACTTCACTGTTACCATAATCCACCTAGTATACTAAGACGACGGTTTCCCAGTGTGACCGCACACAGAAATGCATGGGGCGCTATATCTAGCGACTTGGACGGCATATTTCGTATGGAATAGCATGAAACTTAATTCATTCCTCAGTTGCTTGAGGTATCCCACCGTTGAACGCGAAGTATGAATAGAAGCCTTATTTGGTGAATCCATGCCGTGTTGACCTCGTTTTCACACAAACCTAGTATTTTTTTGTGTGGCAGAAAGGGTCCAGAACATTGGCCTGATAGCAAGCAAAGTTCACCTTAACCTTTTATCCAATCGTCTGATCCCTAACTTATCATTAGTGAAGTATCCCACAACGATCATTAATTCCATACGAAAAGTTTACGACTTGCCATGTACCATTTCTTTTCATCCACTGACCGGTAGAAAATGTTACAAAACTTGGTACAGTTATTAAAGTACCCATGTACCCTTCGTCTAGGTCACTATACACTGTCATTTCCCTCTTACTAGGTACCATTCATTCTGTTTTCTACAATAGGTTTTCCTTTTCTAGATATGTCGTGGAAGTAACTTATGCACACGTCACTTGTGTTGCTTTTCTAGACAAAGATCCTTCTTGATTTGTTGGGCACCATTACCTGAAACTTGTGGGTGGCTTTTGCCACTGTTTTGTGTGTGTGTGTGTGTTCGTGGACTCTAATCTGTTACAAGATGCTGCATTTTTCTTATAACGGCTTGGATGCGACTTGTTACAGGCCGCTTTCTGGATGCTCTTGGTGCTCCAAATCCAAGAGTACAGGGGATATCACCGCCTTGGAAATTAGAAATCCCCTCCCTGAACACATATATATGTATAATAAAATTCTGAATATCGTGTCAGGTCCTTTTTTTAAACATAGTTACTACTGCAGTTAATTTAAATTTTCAAGCCTTTGGATCCTCAACTTTGGGAAAATTATTCTAATGACATTTTCCAAAATCATAACTTATTCAATTTCCATATAATAAAAATCGACTGGTTATACAGTCAGCTTTTGTAAAACATCATGAAAAAAATTACCTTTTCTGGCAACATTCCAGAAAATGTCAAGCCATTTTTAAAATGAGAAACCTACGTTAAACAGATAAATTATTATTTTATAATATAATATTATGTTGTACCATTTACCCTGAACTATTTTTAAACACGAGACAATAAAGGAAATATTCTATAAGTTTCATTTCGAAAGTTCTGTAATAACCAGCTGTCAAGTCGGTGTTCTTTTCGGCTCGTTTAGGCTCAATTTTTACATTCTATTTGGGTACAGGAATTCTAAAAGTTAACTTTAAACCAATTTTATAAATAATCTTATAACAAAAAGTATACGGATAAACGAGACTTACCTAACTCACTTTAACGTTTGGGGAGTATTAATCCTGGAACTTCTTCAAAAAGTGCTTTAAAACGTCACCTGGAGAGCGTACTTGCCACTTTAGAAGGCCGAAAATAATGACTACTTGTTGACCTTTGCACAGCAACAACTTTCAAAGCCAAAAAGTGTCCACTACCATCACCATCTCAGTCCAGTAAAAACAAAACAAAAAAAAACATGACTAATAAATAAAGAATATATAAATCCATAGCAATGTCAGCGCCCTTGGTAAACAAGTTGAACAGGTTTCAGGTACTTTTCAACTTCAACAAGATCTATCTCTAGTAGAGGATAGGCCAAGTCAATCAACAACTTATCTTGACTAGCCAGGACTGATGTATGCATCTATCAATGCCACTATCTGAGTTGTTGCCCTCATTAAACAAACTCTTCAAAGTTGTTTGAAGAGAGAAGTGACATTACAATTCAGGAAATACTTTGTTTTTTGTTTGTTCTTTTGTATCAGTGACTAACAGCTAATAGAGAAATTTCATATTTTATCAAAAAGTTAAAGTAATATAAGCCAGTGCTGTTATCTATCAGTGTTGAGGTATTAAACTGAATGCGTCAGTTTAAGTTAAAGATAAACATCCAGTATCCATTGAAAGTTATTTACTTCCTCGACTTTTTACTCTACATTAAAGATACACAATACAGCTTTGTTGAGTTTAATTGTAAAATTTTAAGAGCTATGTAAAATAGAATTGTTGCTCTTGACTTTAAAAGATAGAGAGTTATATATATAGTAATATTTTTGAGTTAATTTATAGAAGTTGCGTTTCATATAACACAATATAGTTGTTACAAGGTTCAAAATTGTTGCGTTTCACTGTAGGAGTTTAAACGTATAGAATACAGTATTATTGTTCTTCCGCAATACGTTTGCATTACACGACAGTATTACCTGTCGATGTTAAAATTTTACATAGCAAAATATTATTCAACAATCCTGACTATTTTTAAGCAAACAGATATATATATTTTTTTTAACTTGGGTCTAGCACAAATTATTACTTTTTAAAAAGATTTTGTCAGGATAGCAAGTAAGATAATTTGATTGTTTGTAATTAAGCAAAAATCTACACAATGGGCTATTTGTGCTCTGCCCACCGCGGGTATCGAAACCCGGATTCTAGCGTTGTTACTCCCCAGACATACCGCTGTGCCACTGGGGGGGGGAGATAATTTGACAACGTGTTTCTACCTTATCTGTGTTATGGCATTCTGGATTAGCATTCATATTAGTTAAATATTTTCGAGCTGACGTATACAATCCTGTAAAATATAGAAACGAATTGTATTTATAACTTGGAAGCACAGAGAAATTAAGATAGTTATTAAATATTTAGAATTCGCTGAACTGAAGAAGAGTCGACAATATTAAGACCTGAATTTGAAAAGGCAGAAAAGTTAAGGAGTTGTTAGACCTGAGGAAAATGTATAGTGTTAAGTCCTGATTATTACCAAATAAATTACAAGACTTGATAATAGTAAGATCTGGTGGCTTACAAAAACCTTTAGAAGATCTGGTGATTTTGCAAACCTTGAGAAGACTGGATGATGTTAGGATCTCGTGTTTTGCAAACTCTGAAAAGTTAAAAGAGCTTTTATATCTAATTATCTGTAAACTTTAAAAGAGGATAATGCTAAGATTTGGAAAGTTGCAAACAGGTGGAGAGCGCTAAGACCTGACGACGCTTAAACCTTGATAAGTTAGAAAAACCGTGAGAAGAGTGGATAGCATTAAGACTCGGTGACATGTAAACCCGAATATGAATGAAAAGCTTTAAGAACTAGTGATTTGCAAACCCCAAGAAAAGTGAACAAAGATAAAACTTAGTGACTTGTCAAACTGACGTAATGGAAAAAGCGTTGAGACTTAGTGACTTGCAAACTCAAAAAAGGAGTGAGTAACATTACAATTAACTTGTAAACCTTTAGAATAGTAGACAGCTCTAAGACTTGATGACAAGCCTGGAAGAGGCCATGACAGTTTGTAGACTGGCCTTTCAATACTCATTTTCGAGGAAAACATAAAATTTATGCACATTGGAAATTTTATATGTAGACTGTTTTTCATAAAGAATAAATGCCTAAATATGTAAGTATTTGACATTTTACTACTGTGTGGGCCTTTGTAAGAAAAAGCCTCCAGTGGCACAGCGTATGTCTGCGGACTTACAACGTTAGAAACCGGGTTTCGATACCTGTGGTGGACAGAGCACAGATAGCCCATTGTATAGCTTTGTGCTTAACTTTAAACGTACAAATTCTAAAAAATATTAAATTAAATTTTCCATGCATAGCATAACATATGGAGAGCACAGAGAAACAAGGTCAAAATCACTGTACGATCATTTGTTTACGATGAAAAAACCGTTTTGAGTGTTTGTATACATTTTCAAGTGTGTTTTTATTTCGTGTGAAAAAACATAGACCCACTACTTTACTTCTCAACATGTTTCCATTATAAGAAAGCCTTTAAAGATCACGAAAAAAAACTCTGTCTATAATCAAAACAGTGGCCCTATAACTTAGCGGTGTTTGTTTTTCTACGACCTTCATATTAATTTAGATCAAAGATAATAAACAATTTTCCAAAGTTTGTCAGTAATTAACGCTTTTTGGTCAAACCCACCCAAAGCCCACTTTGCCAGATCATGCTAGAAGTTGTTCATTAAGCCTAAGCGAGTAGTCACGCTCCGAATCGGGCCTGTCACGTTCACATTGATTTAAGGCTTCACGCTCGAGCCATGTGCTTTAATATGAAGGTCACCTCACCTGTAATCTACGTTGTACATTCTTACCAGAAAAATCTGTGTATAGACACAAATGTACAAGTGTAAACAAGTATGAAAATGAATACCACCACAGAAAAAATGATTTATATAGATATCAAAGTATTCATTTCTGTATTAACATTTGAAAGAGTAAACCAAAATAAGATTGTTGTAAAATGTATTGTATTTTATATTATCTCAGACTCCTAAAGCTATAAAGTGAGAGAGAGAGAAAGGAAAAAAAATCACATTACGTCCACCTGATTTTGAGATGGACAGCTTTGAGGGATTATTTTTTAGTTTTTTATTTCTTTGTGTAATATATCCTCGTATTTTAAATGTAAATCAATATTTAAAGAGCACCATAAAAGAAGGTCTGACCTACAATTTATAATTATAGCACCAAAACAAAAACTACTGGTAAACATATTGTTATCTCAGTCTGCTTGAAATAACGTTTGATCTAAAACATACCTACTGTTAATTTAAAACCTATAAAACATAACACAGAGAACTTGATTTTATGTATTCCTTATAAGGAGGTACTTATCTACAGCTAACAAGATAATTAAAATTTGGTCATTTAAAATAGGGAATAGGGATCGTCAAAAAATTACAGAAACAATTTGAATCAAAATACAAAGATCATATTTTCAAGAATACAACTAGGGTCTTTAAAAAAGTAAACAAACTAAGCTGAAAATAGTGTCTACATTATTTTCTCAAGCTACAAATCCGAATTTTGACTGCACTAAAATTGATAAGCACTGTAGACAATTTGTAATTATCTTGTTTTTTCAGTTCATTTATGGAGAAAAAATTTTAAGCTACATACGTGCATATGCATTTAGTTGAATGTTACATGTTTTTCAACAGTTTACTACTGCATTGGCTTTTTTTGTTTTACCCAACTATAATTTACTGAGCCAGGTGGTTTTGTGCCTGAGGTTTGTAAATACGTGTTTAACAATCGAAGTACGAAAATCAGTAGAATAAATCATTCACAAGAGTAGAGAAATCTACTGTGGTAATCGTCTACTGTTAGGAAACTCATTGAAATAGTTGCAGAAAACCACGTAGAGACAAAGTACAACAGCCAACTCGAAAATTATGTATTTTCAACGTGGCAGTTTACAATTAATACGCTATAAGTTGTACAAAATGGCCCGGCATGGCCAGGTGGTTACGGCACTCGACTCGCAATCTGAGGGTCGCGGGTTCGAATCCCCGTCACACCAAACATTCTCGCCCTTTCAGCCGTGGGGGCGTTATAATGTGACGGTCAATCCCACTATTCGTTGGTAAAAGAGTAGCCCAAGAGTTGGCGGTGGGTGGTGATGACTAGCTTCCCTCTAGTCTTACACTACTAAATTAGGGACGGCTAGCGCAGATAGCCCTCGTGTAGCTTTGCGCGAAATTCAAAAAACAAACAAGTTGCACAAATTATTTTCCAGTTAATGCGCATTAGTAAAATACCGGATTTTGTCGATGGCGGAAAGTGAGGGACTCAGAGAAATTCTTCAGGGCGAAAAAACGATGGTGCTTTAATTAATTCTAAAACTGTCCTATGACATACTAAATACTGCATTCATTACTATTTTCCAGGTTTCAGTAAAACGTTCGTAGCTGTTTTTTCCAGCGGCTTGTAAAACTATAATCAATAATAATAAGACTGGAGACACTTACGCATTGTTTACTCTAATAAAATGAAGCATTTTCGACTGGTATAAAACGTGGCATTTCCGACTAGTATAACTGGTGCTTAAATGATTGCTACATTTCTGCGATGCTTGAAATACTTCAAAGAGCTTATTATGGTAGCGAAGAAGAACTTAGAAATTTCTAGAGGGTGAAAATCTAGATTTTCAAAAATCAACTTAAAAATAGCCCTATAACCTTTGCAGGAGTTTGTTTAGTAGCTGTGCATAGAGTTTCGCGCAGTATACCAAGCCGTTGTTGCTGTAAGCTTCTGTGCTTGAATGGCTTCGAAGAGGAACTTGGCCAGTAGGGATGAAAAAGAAGATGAAACAATCCATTCTCTTTCAAAAACCAACATAAAATCGTCCTATGACCTGCGCAAGAGTTTTGGTAGTAGCCATTTTTTCTGTAGGCTTGTGAAACACGAATAATATGAATAATAATAATATTATTATTAAGAACAAATGAGTGAATTTTGAATTTTTTCTAGCAATCGGAAAATCAACTTTTTTTTTCACTATTATCAGTATTTTAACAGCCTTAGTCATTTGGATAGAAGGCCTTTAGTGTTGTTTCCAGAACAAGCCTGATTTTTAAGATGGTTCTTTTCCGTACGTTCTATTAGAATCAGGCCCGGCATGGCCAGGTGGTTATGGCGCTCAACTCGCAATCTGTGGGTCGCGGGTTCTAATCCCCGTCCCACCAAACATGCTCGCCCTTTCAGCCGTGGGGGCGTTATAAAGTGTCGATCAATCCCACTATTCGTTGGTAAAAGAGTAGCCCAAGCGTTGGCGGTGGGTGGTGATGACTAGCTGCCTTCCCTCTAGTCTTACACTGCTAAATTAGGGACGGCTAGCGCAGATAGCTCTCGTGTAGCTTTGCACGAAATTCAAAACAAACAAACTATTATAATTTTTTGTGTAATTCCTGGGCAATCCCTATTACGAACCACTATCGTGGTTCACGACAAAGCCTTAGCTATAGTATCTAAATCACTAAACTGAAGAATGTTATCTACAGTCTCTGTAATACTATAGAAGGTCTTATCTGCAGTCCCTATATATACGTCACTAATAAGTTATCCATAGCATCTATATCACTAGGTCTTACCTGCAGTTTTAATTTATCCGTCACTAGCAGGGCTTATCTATAGTATTTAGATCACTAGAGGGTATTCTCTGCAGTCTCTACGTCACTAAAAGGTCTTATATGCAGTTTCTATATATACATCACTAATAAGTTATCCATAGCATCTATATCACTAGGTCTTACCTGCAGTTTTAATTTATCCGTCACTAGCAGGGCTTATCTATAGTATTTAGATCACTAGAGGGTATTCTCTGCAGTCTCTACGTCACTAAAAGGCCTTATAT